CCCCCTCCTCCCCCCCCCCTCCGGTAATTAAGAACAGATTGACCAAAACAGGGTGAGAAAAGTTTAAAAAAAAAACCAGTTTGGAGAATTAATAAAGAAAACCAGTAACACTGGTTCATCCAATCTTTGAAAGGGCTCTCCTAGGTGGAGAAAGTATTGAATGGTTTTGAGGAGATTTTTCTATAGGAATCTTTCTACCCTCTTGGCAGGTCCTTCCTTGACTGGGCAGAGGGAGGAAGAGATGTAGGCTGTGAATGAAGAGATGTCACTGAAGAAACATTTCATTTGTTTCATTTTCACAGTCCGATGAGTAAAACTATGTTTTGGAAACAGATGTTAGTTACTTTAGGGTTGATTTCCCCTGTAAACCAAACGAAGGCCCCTCTGCGTATCAGAGGACAGGGACTTCGTCGGGGACCAGCCGGGCTGGCCACCTCCTAAGAGTCAACGGGGACACCCATTTCACCTCCTTTGTTTTCCACTCTGATGTGGGAAGGACAGTTTCCCAGATAAAGCCTGGAATTGAGGTCACTCCAGCTTCTGCAGCCTTGGGCTGCTGGTGAAGGCTTTCTAAGGTTCCTGCATCTCATTCCTGCTGCCTTACTGGTAGTAAATAAGGATGATTAAACTTTTCATTATGATAACACCCTGCAGTTCCATCTGCGCACGTTGTATAAATAGGTATACAGAGCTTTCTACAGGCCCCTGAGTCCCCTGGCTGAAAATCCGAGTGAAGTGTGTCATTTTGAAATAGAGTCAGAGAAAAAAAAAATTCAGGCAAAATGTTCCGCTTTTCCCTACAAATATGCCTTGTAGCCCCCTTAGCCAGGGAGCAGTGACGTCTCGTGGCTTTGAATACACCTCCACTAGGTTCTGGCTGCATTGGGCACTTTCTCAGCCCTCTTGGCCCCTTTCAGGCTGAGCCCAGTTTTGTAACGATATTTTATTTTGTTGCACCATAAAATACGCCAGTACTAACGTGATTAAATATTAACAATGCTTCTGAAATTCTTCCCTCAGATGACAAAATACTCCTCGGTATTTAACAAAATGACCTGTGCTGGGATTGGAGGAAACAGATCATGTTCAGGACCATACGGGGCCTGGAGTGCCCAGCTTGTCTTAGGGGGCTTTGGGTGTCCTTTGGAAGAGGGGAGGACACTTGATTGGCAAGTTGTAGTTCTCGAAAAGTGTAGATCGGAATGACACGCGATTATGATTTTTTTATATAGATACAACAGGAAAACAAGCTTTCTCCAAATTATTCTTCTCCCTACTTCTTAATCAGCCCACCAAACAACTTTTATATAATGAAACATGAGGCTTCTGTGCACAGAAAGTTGGGCTGGGGAAGGGTGAGCTTATGAAAAGGGGGAACTACACACACACACACACACACACACACACACACACACACACACAACCAGTTGGAGTCTGTTCCCGTTCAGACATCTATTCAGTCTGTGTGGATGACATGAATTTAAAAATAGTTTGCAAAATCTTCCATCCATTTTTGTAGCGACAAATTTCGAAACAGGGCCAGAAGGACAAATAATGACAGAGTATTAATAATGGATGTACAGATGATAGGTATTAAGGAAGGTAAAGTCTGGCTCCCTTTTGCCCCTTTGCAGTTTTCAAAACCTGAATAAACTGTGTCCCGTGATGATCCCTGCCGAACTTCCTTTCTGTTGGCCACTCTTGCTCTTAAAACCCAGAGTAGCGTAGCACAGTGTTTTGCACACTTGGGAGCGGCCTTGATAGACCCTCTGCACCCAGTCTTGCTCTTTCTGGCAGTCTGATATTTTTCCAGCCATGTGGGGGAAATTTTTGGAATTTCTTGCTTCTCAGCATTCCATTTGGAACAGTCAAGCAGCACTGAGAAGAAGTACTAGGCAGGCAGGAGTCGAGCGCTGCATTCTTCAACCATGGGGCAGACTTGGGAGCGAGCGAGGGAGGGAGGGAGGGAGGGCGGTCTTAGCTGCAGAGCAAAGCACTATTTTGTTGTTGTTGTTTCTTTCCCCCCCTGAGTCTCCTTTTCTGCATCTCTACGCCACGCAGAGAATGTATAGAGCTAACTTTAACTTGTTTGGGGAAAGCCAGGAGCATCTCAGTCCCTGATTCTTCACAGAACCACCCACCATGGGACGCATGCCTTCCTGTGACTTTTGTGGCTCCGGAAGGTGTAACCCAAAACTTCGCAGGTGTTAATCAGGGGTAATGTAAACAGATAGGGGCCCTCTTTGTACAGCTAACGTTCCGGCCCGGCCTGCTCGCTGCCTAGGCTGGGACATACAACTACTGTTCTTTGGTGCTTGTTTAATATTTCATGGCTGTAATAAACCTGTCTTCTTTGCCCGCCTCCCAACATAAAACCCCAACCTAGCACACATCTGCAATTATACATCTCCACTAAATATTAATAAAGGACAAGGATGTTTTAAGGGGCTGGAGCTTAGCAGGGTTAAACTCCTCGTCATGGTTTCTGCTACTGGATTTTTCTGGCCATTTTGATTTTAAATAGCCACTACCTTCTAATGTGCAGCATATACTTACATATTCTCCAGTATAGCCACACGCACAACTTTTGTAGATTGAAAGACTTTCCTCAGGATAGCTTGCTTTTTTTTTATAAATTCATTTAGATTTCTTGTGAGGCCCCTTCAGACCAGAGTAAGAGACTGTTAAAATGTTACTTCTATTTTATTGAGGGTTCTAGGAAAGGAGTGTGGGTTGCTTAATCTAATTTCTCTTTCTAGCAATGAAATTCTATGATTCCTGATATGATTTTGTTTGCCCGACAGAGGTATTTAAATTTCCACAAAGAATCTTAATAGATCCTGAAAATACAGCTGCCTTTGCCAAGAAGTTACTTGATATGCTCTGCTGATATAAAATATACATCTTTAATAAACAGTCCGGGAGGACCAGGTGAAATTAGAGGAGGAAAATTCTTCCCACTGTGGATGGGCAGACTGGAGTGTGTGGCTGGGATTTCGCAGGATCTCCTCAACGCGCTCTGTGCTGTAAAATTCAGCAAGTCGCTAGTGGCCTGTTTCTCTCCACTTGAGTGACAATAACGC